AGCTAATTTGTTCATTAAATCAATTGAGGAAGTTGGTGCAAGTAATGTTGTTCAAGTTATCACTGATAATGCAAGTAATATGAAGCTTGTCGGTTCTACGGTTGAGCAAACTTATCCACATATATTTTGGACACCATGTGTTGTTCATTGTTTGAACCTTGCACTAAAAAGCATGTGCCAACCTTCCAAAAAATCAACTCAATTTATAAATTGCAAATGGATTTTAGATTTGATTGGTGAAGTTAGTAGCTTAAAAATTTTTGTGTTGAATCATGATATGGCTCATGCTCTTTTTCAAAAGCATTCAGCGTTGTCTTTGTTGAAAGTTGCCGAAACGAGATTTGCATCTCATGTTGTCATGACTAGTCGTGTTCATCAAGTGAAAGCATCTTTGGAAAGAATGGTAATGGATGATGATTGGAGAAACTATAAGGGAGATAAAGTGATTGAAGCTAAAACGCGTGAAATTAAATCCCTTGTAATGAATGACGAATGGTGGGATAAGATTGAGTACTTTTTAAAGTTTACCGAACCAATTGTGTCTATGCTTAGAAGTGCCGATCTTGATGCTCCAAAGTTACATCTTGTTTATGATATGTGGGATACAATGATCGAAAAGGTGAAAGTAATTATCTTTGAACAAGAGGGAAAAGATCTTATTGTCGGGCAATCAGACTTTTTTTATACAATTCAAGAAATTCTTGTTGTTAGGTGGAATAAGAGTAACACCCCTTTACAGTGTATGGCACATTCTATGTTCTTATCAAGGTCATGTTCTTCGACAAAAACAGTAAAAGCCTAAAAGGTATGTTTTCAATTTTCTTTATCTTTATATATCCAACTCTTTTACTTATGTAATTATATGATATTTATTATTTTTTAATATACTTTGTGTAACCACTAACTTGTAGGAGAATATGAGAATGGAAGAAAATCAAGAAATCGTGCCTGCAACTTGAGAATAAAAATCCACACAATACAAGTTATAGGTAAGTATTCCATAAAGTTTCTCATAATGTAGAGATATTTTTATTTTTGAATTAATTTTAGTCGGATCCCCGCACCCGTATCGGTTCTAGGATTCGTATCCCCGAATCTAAAAATTTTCATCTCAAAGGATCCGACCTCTAGATCCGCACCCGTGTCGGACACCCGCACCCGTGTCAGAGCAACTTAGACTTTAAAAACAAATGCACTTAATGTCTGAGATCTGAAAAATTAAGATTCAGACCTCCATTAAGTGCAAACAAATGAGACCTTAGATAGTTATGTAAATAATATGAATTAGTCCTAGTCATACATAGAATAGGAGTATGATATGTATTGTATAAATAGGACTCATTGTATTATAATTAAAACAGAATATCAATAATAGATTTTTCTCCCGTGCATTCTCACATCAAAGAAGCATAATGTTCAAAGAGAAAATAAGACAAGTCTATCGCCAAGAAAATCAAACTATGGAAAAATTGGAATGAATCCTAAGAAAATTCTGCAAATGCATATATCTTATTAATATGCTAAAGAAATATAGGTGAAGGCAAAGTTCATGAACAAGAAGAGAGAAACACTTAAGAGCTTTCACTTAGAGTGCATTGGAATAGATCAATGAACATAAAGCTAAGTCAAGTTACTAGTTACAAGTTACAACGACATTGAGAAAGAAGCTATTATGCACTATCAATTCCTGTTAATGCTCTACTATCTTTGTTCCAAAGTTTTCATTGATTCGGCTTTCTTTTATTTATAATCAAATATCAATGTTGTTTAAGTGGCTGACGTCCTTCCATTAACCATTAGAGATAATTTGAAATCACAAGACTATAGAGAACAAGAGATGACATTTCTTCCGATGTCAAAAGAAGCATACTGTTCAATAAGGGGATGAGACAAGTCTCACCAACAAAATAAAATCATGGAAAAATGGAAACGAAACCTTATAAATCTACGAATAGCATACACCTTACTAGTATCATAAATGCAAAATAGGCAAAGACAAGGATCAAACAAGAGAAAACAGAAACACTTATAAAGCTTTCTCCTCAAGTACATTGAAATAGCTCAATGAGCAGAAAGCAAAGTTACAACTTGCATCTACATTCGAAAAGTAGTTATAATACATACTATGAATTAATAGATTATACTCGCATAACAACAGATAAAATAGCAAATTCATGCTAAATTTCAGATCGATGACATCATTTATCATCAGTAGTTTTTACTTACATTCTGTATTTGTTAGAAAATTCATTCAATATGTATAATATCTAATTGCGACCCAGTAATTAAGAAAGCTATGAATCCCGAGGGTAGATCAGAACCCATAAACTTAAAATCCTGACTCCTATGTTTATCATGCCATAACTCTCTAGCTAAATTAATATATCTAGACAATTTGCTGAACTAATGATATACGCAATACCAACTCCACGAAATTTACACGAAATTGAACAAATATGATTAAATAAAATGAAAATTGATGAATTTTACCGCCATAGCTGCATTTTGATACTCCTTGAACAGAGAAACAGATGGAAACTGACCGGCCAAGCTATGCCTCATGATGCCATCTCTGTCTGGAGAACTTTCCGATCCAGTCGGACTGTTATAGTTTTGATCATACTGCGACACCGGAGACCTCCTCGTCACTGGCGGCGACGAATAATTCGTCACGGACGGCGTGCGCTGCACGTGCTTTACTACCGCCATCGGTTTCGGACTCGTCTCGTTCAGTTCCGAAACGCAGTTAGTGTTTGACCTGGAGATTTTTTGTGGTCGGTGATTTAGTACCTCACCGTCACGGTGATGATTCTGGAAGTTTCTAGGATTAGACTGCGGAGAAGGATTTGGAATGTGAAGAGGTCGAATTGGAGAGTGATTGTAAGGTAGAGTTTTGCGGTATTTGGAGACAGTGGTGGTGGAGGAGGCAGCAAGTGAGGCGGCGGCGGCGGCGGAGTCGATCACCGCCCATAATGCGGCGTCGTCTAGGTCCTTATCGTCAATAGCGTAACTCATAGGAGAGTTCATTTCTGTATTTTTAAAAGTTGAGAAAAGAGAACAATATGATCGATTTTCGGAAATTTATAGGCATGGAGCTTCGTTTGTTCTAAGCTGCTATTTCTTCTGCTTTGCAGATTGGGAGGTGAATTCTGGAACCATGCCGCTGTGTAAGAATTCAAATTTGAAATCGGTCATACGACGTCGTAACAAAGTTTGTTGTGGTTCGATTTTTCCCTAAAATGAAACCAAACCAAGTAAGTCGGTTCTTCAAATATTTGAACCAAACAAAACCACTTAAGTCGGTTTTTTATCGATTCGGTTTTTTGTCGATTTTTTCGGTTATTTATTGGATTTTTTTCTTAAATATGAGACATACAATACCAAACACATATTCCGGAGATTACATTTTCAACGTAACACTATCAAACCAATTGCTCTTTGATAAATCTATCATTTACCAAGATATATTGATGATAATTGAATCAAATAGTGATGAATAATTTAAGTATTCAATTAAAAATCAATTATTTCCAACATGAAATAAATTCTTGTACTTAGCAAAAGAAAACTATCAATCAAACTAGAATGTAAAGACAAAGAATTAGATTATTATAATAGTAAAAAACTAGACTAAAAATACATACGACTAATATGAACCATAAAATTTTAGAAACTTTGTATAAAATATACATATATATAGGTGTGATAATAAATTTAAATAGTTACTTCTATAGTCGGTTTGGTTCGGATTTTTTCGGTTATTTTTTTATTAAAATCAAAATCAAACCAAATTTGATCGGTTTTTAAAATTCAAAATCAAAATCAAACTTAATCTAAAAGTATAAGTTTTTTAATCGGTTTAGTTCAGTTTTCGGTTTGGTTCGGTTTTTATTAACACCCTGTGCATAAGCCGTGGAAAAGANTTTCATGTTTTTCAATTGTGAAAAGCTTTTTAATTGACTAATTATTCCTGAACTTTTTTAGGCGAACATTTCTACATGCCTAGTGGATCTTAGACCTCTGAATTAGAAGGGTAAATAAGTTGATAATAAAAAAAAAGAAAATCTGATCACAATTAAAAAATGTGTAGTCCGTTTAGTCTTAAATAATACTCCCTCCGTTTTAATTAGTTATTACGCTCCTAAAAATTTACGGGGCAAAAGTTTCGTGTGACTATAAAAACTTCTCATTAAGGGTAAAAATAGATAAAATATAAAGTTTAAAGTTAAATTATTTTTAAATATTTAAATATATATTTTTTGAAATGAACTAATAAGAAAAGTGTGACAATTAAATTGAAACCGAGTGACTACAAAAGTTTCACATTTGCCATAAGTAATTGCAAATAACAAATAAGTAGCATAAAGATACTTGGGATAGAGCAAAAGGATATTTTTGGAGGAGTATTTCAGGCAAAATAATACTCCCTCCGTCTCATATTAATAGTCATGGTTACTAAAAATAGTTATTTCAAATTATTTGTCATTTTAGAAGTTCAAGATAAATTTTTTTTTTTTTTTTTAACCTTAGTAATAATTATTCTTTGAAAATAGATATAACACATAAATAAAATAAATATTTAATGAAGATAGATTATATTTTAAGACATAAATAAGAATAGAATAGTCTAATTTATTTTTTCATTAATATTTGTTAAAGTGCGTTTAAAAGAGAAACACAACATAATATATATATATATATATATATA